TTTTCAAAAATATCTTTTGCCTTTTACTCGCCTGCCTCTTAAATACAACCCCGAATTTTTTATTCTCTAATGATAGATTTAAAGAAATACCTTTGGCCCAGGAAACCCTTCACCTTGGGGTCCCTTTTCCCCTTGAACACCTTGTGGTCCTTGAGGTCCCTGTAAAGATAATCAGCTTACAATATAGCTAGCCGTAAGTCAAAATACAGACTTTCTTCAGAGAGCAGATCTCTCACTAACACCAACACTGACTCTGATGCTTCTGAACTTACAGGAAGGCCGGGTTCACCCACTCCTGGAGGACCAGAAGGACCTGGTCTGCCCTGGAATCCCATGTCACCCTGAAGAGAAATATTAGCGCAAATTAGTCACCCAAACACAATCACGACAATCAATATTCAGAGGACAGTTCATAACATGACTTACTTTTGGTCCAGGAAGCCCAATACCAGTCTCCCCTTGAATTCCTGGAGGGCCGGATGGGCCCCGTTCACCCTGTATTCACAAACATATTATTTAAACAACTGTATGTTGGACTTGGAAGCATTAGCATATAGAAGTACTGAACAGCAATGTTTATATCACTCATCTTTTGCTACCACTTAATTTAAACCTTTAGTAGCTCGGTTTCATTGTATGAAAAAGATGGAAAAGGGACTGAAATGTTTTATTTTTTCCTGTGTATAAGGTTAAGAAGGCCCAAAGGTCATTACTACATCAAAGGTGAATCTCAAAGTTGGGGTAATGGTAGCTGTTATCTAAAGATAAGAAGAATAAGCTCAAAATCATGTAATCACTTAGACTGTTTAATAAAGTCTCTGTCTACAGTTTTAACCTGAACTGATACAAGGAATTAATACAAAGACTTGTCTTACAGCTACTCGACTTGCTTGTGTGCTTGCACAAATTGCATAGGGACCACCAAGACTCCTTGTAATCTTTCCAAATGCCTACAGGTCCTCACATGGTGAGACACTGAGCATACACAGACTTTCCATGTGTGTTATTAAGTGCAAGCCTTGTTGGAAAAGCTGAAGATGTTGTGGGCACCCCATAATCTGTATTGGGAGAGCCTAGAGTGAGACTTTTTCATTATGTTTTTTCCCTGAGCTCCTGAATGGAAGTAATGATGGGGAAGACATTGGCTCATTGCCAAGTCTTCACACAGGGGTCTATTAAAAGACAACCGGCTTCTGTGTTATAGAGTTATTACCGAGGTAGAAAAACTCTAACCTCTTGTTTATACTCAACATAAAAGGAAATGCAAAGGTCACAGCAGATGTGCATGGTAGGATAAGTAAAAGTTGTCAGAAAGTGGCAGACCTGCTTTCCCTGGGGGCCCTCAGGTCCCCTGTCTCCATGTGGTCCTGGTAAACCCTGGATAAGAACAGCATACAGTGACTGATCATCACTTGAAATATGTTTATTCAGACAAATATCATGTAACAATGAATAGCTGAAGTTTCTGCATTGTATCTATAACAAATCAGTTCAAATGTTGACACAAACATTTGAACTGTTTAGTAAATGGAGCAAAAAACAATGTTACTAAATGCTAATTGCTAAAGTGCATAACAAAACAAATTCAAAGGTAATAATCCAAAAGAATGCAGGACATGAAATGGTTAGGCACCAGAAAAAAGAAACTGACAGGATTTCAAATGAAGCTTATGTGTAAGTTTAATAAGGAAAATCTGTAATCACTCATCTGCCTGCTTCCCTGTCCCTATCTCTGCTGAACCTGGTCACTCACAGCTCTATCCAAATCTCCATCTTCATCTTTGCCGGCACCAGTGTCTAGACTCCAGGAGATCCTGTCTTAATTCCTATCACTGCAGGCATTCTGTTACGATGGGTTATCATTAACTAATTTCCAAATAGCTCAACTAAATGCTATATTTCAATAAATCATCTTCAATAATTCCTAAGAATCTATCCTTTTTAAAACACACAAAGCATCATTTACAAAACAAGACACAAGTGAAACAAAGCTCAGGTGTGAAAAATCAACCACACCACAAACCTGTGATGGCAGATAATCACAGGGAAACAAAAGCAGCAAGTACAAACAAAACAACGCGCAAAAAAATGATGCTTCATGATAAAATTAGGGGAAAAAACCAAACAGGTAACACTAAGGCATGAAGGCTACTACTGAACAAGATGACAAAGACAGGAGAAAATAAGAGTTGCAACTAAAAACCGATGAAAAACATAGTGATGAAGACAGTACCCACTGATTCTGAGCTATAACACTTTGCTGCTCTGTTTTGTCTGCTTATTAAATTGCTTATTAAATTTATGTTAAGACACATGAGTTCATACTAACCTGCAGGCCTCGGGGTCCTCTTTCTCCTATTGACCCCTCAGGACCCTGAAACACATTAAACAACCATAGGAAACAGGCCATAAACCCAATTACCATATATACAATTAGTAAAATCCATTAAATTAAAAATGTTATTTGGCACGTCTAATACCAAGAGCAATGTCATACCCTGTCTCCTTTGATTCCTGGAGTGCCACATTCACCCCTCTCACCCTGCGCAGAAATTACAAAAACAGTTCAGGCTTCAATTCACTCCAAAACATCCCACCACTGTTACTAATCTAAATTTCATACCTTATCTCCTCTGTAACCTGGTTTTCCCTGCAAATAAAAATGATTGAGACGCCATGTGTGAACAAGCTTCAGAAACAATGAAGATGTTGATCACAAATAGTGTCATTTACCTCTGGACCCTCTCGCCCGGGTACTCCACTTAATCCTGCTTCACCCTTAGGTGGGATTACAAACAGGTTTAGAAACAAAAATGGATACTTGTACATTATTAGTGTGTTAAAGCAATTCAGATAATAATTCTGAAATAATTTAGAAAGACCTCATAGTCACTATACTTAATGGAAGCCAGTAAATAAAAGTTAAGTTTAAGAAAGACAACACAGACATTTCACAGTTACAATGTAAATCAATACTAGCATGCAAAGCAATGTTGGAAAGATGTAAATGTAGTTCTTAAACATTTAATTACAAAATAGCTCTTAATTACAAGAAGTAAACATGGGTTGAAAGCTCTGCAAGCATTTATAGTCATGGAAAAAATGTCTACTATTATACAAAATGCATGTTTATCATCATAGGCATCGCTAAAGTTACCCTTACGAACCTAATTTCTTACCTGGTGTCACAAGTATATTAGAGGTAAGGAAGAGCAACAGCACAATAGTGATACACATATATTATTAAATACAAGGTAATATGAATATGAGGAAAATAAAATGGGACCTAATATTGAACCTTGTGGTACTCCACTGGACACAAGCGAAGAAGTGAATTAAAAGCACGAGTTTTGTAAGTTCAGGGAAGCCTAACGTCTTTTTGCAAAAGACGGAAGTATTAAGTAACTCATGAAAATTTCTGCACGCTAAGAGCTTAACATTCAGAGCAGTCCACATATCCATCAAAGGGCACACACCTTTTGCCCTTTAGGCCCCGGGGCTCCATCATCACCAGGGCGACCTTTCTTTCCCTGGAAAATGCAACAAAATCAAGATAGAGATTTGATAATTTGTTTTGTAAATTTTGCATTCTTGTTGCTGTGCACAAAATGACTTCAGCAGATAACACTATGACCTTTAACCTCAACCAAGTCTTTGCCGAGTAACCGTGTGGAAAAAGGTCAAGGAGCTTTCTGACAGATCTGTATGATCGCTGAAGCTATGAAACATGAAACATCTTGTCCACATGGCCAGAAGTCATTGTTTTGAGCTGCACCTGGATAGTGTGTGTCAGTTACTATTCACCAGAAATCCCTAGTTTGTGGTAATTTTTCCAATAAGAGCAATTATGGGAACCTCTTAGTCTGAGTGTAAGAATGTGAAGAATCTCTCTGTGGTGAAAGCACCTGGTCTCACAGTAGTTGTCAGTCAATAATATGACTGTCTGCCGATAACTTGACCACGTTATCTGAGCAGGAGAAGGGCTTAAACTAAAGTTGTTATGAGTAAAATATGTGAGTATGTGTGTGGAACAGCTCAGATCATCTTGTGTAAGTATTCTTCTATCCTCGTCCCATTGACCATGGCAAGATTAGTGAGATTTACTATGGCCAAAGAATCAGTTTTACAGGGAGCTCTAAATGTGATGCTTCTGTCTTCCATGGGTCACATCCGATGTCACATTAGTATAATAACTAGATGAGGGTAAGTAAATATATTTCTCTTCAAATAGAAGATGAAAGTCTCTGGTCCTTTTTCATTAATCTTCTTTAAGATGGTGGGATTGAACCACCCATCCTCTTTGTTTGTGCAAATGCCTCTAAGCTGCATTTAAAAAGCAAGCAATTATCCCGTCTGAACAAAAACGACACAGCAATCATAACTAAAATATCAGGTTCGTATAAAATGTTTCTGAAATCCTTCTCACTGAAAACTCATTGCTTATGGTGTATTTTCATACTTACTGCAGGCCCACTGGGTCCTCTCTCTCCTTTGTCACAAGCACATCTCTGAGCCACTGGGCACTTCAAAGAGCAGAAATACGATTATTAAACTGTGATAAAAGCCATTTAACAGTCAATTAAATTAAATAATTTAGTTACTTAATGACATTTTATTGAATTTCAAATATCTACAGTTAGTGTGAGTTAATATTTGTAACTTGTACTTACATCTTCATCAGCTAAGCCAATCTGCAAAGAAAATAGAAACAGACTTGTTGTCAGTTGTACAAACATACTTCAGACACTTATTAGGGTTCTTCTGTTATTGCCAAGATGTGTTGTCTTGATTCAGCATAACTTACATGTCTACATGCATTGGTTTTGATAAAAAATTAGGAAATAATGAGATTTTGGTATACAAATCTTAACTTTGCATTATCTATTAACTTTTAAAGTCCTTTAAAATGATGAGTTACAATGAGTGAATGAGTGTGTGTATTAAATAAACTGGTCAGATGCAATGGAAATGAATATATGCACGTCATGCATTATTCCACAGGAAATCGAACTGCCTTAACCCAATTATTAATTTTAATTGTTAAGGCAGTTTAATATCAACAGTAATACAATTAGAGATTACCAGACGGAAAAGAAAATCCTGGGGGCTTTTCCTTTGTGTGTCTTTTTAAAGGTTCGGGAGAAAGGCATAAATCCATAACGGACATGAACATCTTTCATTTGTTTTTTCCACAGCACTGTCATCACTTCATCTCTATAAGATTACATGAAGCTTGCATATCAATGTACCAACTCCCATTCAAAGCAAATACATCACTTTTCTTTTTTGTTTTGTCTACTGAGAGATGAGCTTTAATACTTAATACTCACAATTTCAGTGGAGATTTTTTCGACTATGTTATTATCCTGTAAATTATGGAGAAAGACAGAAGCAGGGGAGCTGGCGAGGAGGCGGAGATTAGCAACATTGGCCGGCTCATTGGCTGCTCGGGTGATGCCCAAAGTGAAGAACTTGATGCCCTGGTTTTTGGCTTCAGCAACAGCAGAGAAAATGTCAGGGTTCCTTGGGTGGGAAACACCATCTGTAAGCAGCACTGCTACTTTGATGCTGTGAGGGCTGGATTCTTCCAGGTAAATCTTGGTCATGTTGGTGATGGCATACGTGGTGTAGGTGCCATGCCCAATGTAGACTATTGGGGCTATTTGGGTCTTGAAATTCTCTGCTCCTCTCCAATATCTGAAGGTCTGCTCTGTGATAACGTGGCTGCTGTACTGCAGCAGAGCAACTCTCAAACTCAAGCTGCGTCCAGTCTGCAGCCGGACACCTTGGAGTCTGTCCACCATGTTCATGGCAAACTGCTTTTCATCCTCATGATTGTCTTTTGCACTCTCAGAGCTGTCCAACAGGAAGGCAAGTTCCAGGCTACACTCTTCATCAAGGATGGCTGTGACCACACAGAACAAGTTATCTGATTAACTGATTGACTGCATCTCAATCAACTTGATGAGAAAATGCTGCAATTTTTGTAACATATCCAAAAAATTATATTGAGAAGATGTAAAACATTTTGCAAAATCAGTTGGGGTTATGAATTTGTGTTTCTTGTTTTGCTGAAATATACTGCTTAAGTTTTGAGAATGAAGAAATATTAATGTATCACTTTAAAAACTGTCTTCTTTATTCATTTATTTCTTACCTTGATCATTGTAGATATTTGCAGCAAGAGGTTTGGCTCCAGAATTCTTGATGGTTTTCCTCGCTTGGTAAAAGTCTTGGGCCCATATGCTGGAAAGTGCTGTGGCCAGCAGCAGTGGTGTAAGAAACATCCTTGCCCCTTAGAGAATACAGCAACGACAAATTAAAGTCAAAATTACACTCTACAAAAGAGGTCTTCACATCAAATCAGAGTGTAGCAGGTTGTTTTTTGGAGAAATCAAACTCTTAAATGTGACATTTAGAAAGGTAGTAGATCTTTAAAAGTATTAAACATTGACTTACAAGCCAGCTTCCTGTGCAATTGCTGCAGTCAGTCCTATTTTTGGAGTCGTGAAAAATGCAGAATTAAAAAAGGCAGCAGAGTGGGCAAAGGACCGTCAGAGGACAACTAGCACAGTGGGTTGCACTTCATTGATTGTGAAGCAGCAGTAGTGTCAGTTCTGCTGGGAGAAGAGACTAAGAGACCCTCAGACATTCACTCCTCCTTTATAAGGAGGCACCGACAGACCAGATCCAATGGAGCAAGGCCAACACTCCTGCGCTTGCCTGAGGCAAAGAGATCGCTGAGATATGTTTGAAAGAGTGAAGCAATGTAGTGCATGTTTGGTGAACTTGGTATTTTAATGACTACAAATTGAACTACAGAATAACACAGAATTATATTCATCATGTTAAGTAATGGACTGAAATCATTATAGTTACAGAGTTTAATTAGCTGCATTTAGATTCTTCTATAATCATTTATGTCATTAAACTCACTATAGTTAAATAGCGTTATGTTAGATGCTTAATTCTTTGTATTTGCTGTGAACTTGTAAAATTGGAATGGTTTTAGTGATGTTTTTGTAACACTGGTGCTAAAATTAAATTCCATAAGGGTGTGGGAGTTTCAAAATTTAAAGTCTCTAAAAGCAAATTCCTCGTCACCTTCGGTCTCACCCAGATCAACCGGGGCTTTGGAATGACCATAACAGTGCTGCCTGTGGAAAAAAGGGTTAAAAGGTCCAAGATTTATGTTCGCTTTTAAATGCCAAGCAATGGAAACCAGTGAAGAGGTGCAAAAAGGTGGCAATCAAATAGAATTTTGATCCAAGTATTCTCCACAAAGATAGATAGATAGATAGATAGATAGATAGATAGATAGATAGATAGATAGATAGATAGATAGATAGATAGATTCAGAAGCTTCTAATAAAGCTTAAAACCTCCAAGTGAGTGACAGGCACTTCAATTTTCAGAAAATAAATAAAAGGAAACTGCAGGTGGTATTTCACCTTCCAGACCCTGAAATATGACCTTATGATATTGCAGAAGCAGAGGTGACCTTTCATTGTGCTCCTGGTGTGGTTTAGAGATGAGGACGGTTCTTGAGGATTCACAGAGCATTCTGCCTGCTGTGCTTAAAGTGAAGAGGCTCTGTATTACAGACCTGCAGGCTAGGAGTAATTAGAGGAGACTTTCTGACACAAAGGAATGCAACACTGAATGATGGTTTGAGAAAACACACACACTGCATCTTTGGATTATGACAAATGACAGCCTACCAGTATACTTCGTATGTAGGGTGTATGACTGTAAAGTTCAGGTGTGGTCAAAATGGATTACAAAGAATTCGGTCGATATTTCTGATCTGCAACTGCTTATCCAATGAATGTCACCAAATGGCCTGGTGAGAAAAGAAGGGTGCACCCTGGATATGTTTGCCTGTCTGTTATAGGGCTTACTGAGAAAGACAACTATTCACTTTCATATTCACATGTACCACCAATGTAAAATCATCAGTTAACCTAAACTTGTTGACCAGATGTGCAAAGGAAGAGCACCCAAACTCCAAATGGAAAGGTCCAAAACAAAACATTTTTTTTTACAAGAGCCAAAATTTTTTTTGCCATCCACGAGTCAAGATTTTCCCAGAGGTCTGAATTTTCTTGAGTAAATCTAAATTCCATCCATCCATCCATCCATTTTCTGCCGCTTATTCTTTTTCAGTGTCGCAGGGGGGCTGGAGCCTATCCCAGCTGTCTTGTGGCGAGAGACAGGGTACACCCTGGAGAGGTCGCCAGTCTGTCGCAGGGCTAATAAATTTAAAATTTAATTTCAAATAATTCCAAACTTTTGAACTTATAGATGGCATAAAAACTCCAACTTATTTTCATTGGCAGAAACAAGTTCCACATTTTGCAGCACTGTCATATGTTCAGTCTCGGCTGTTGGCTTTAAAAAGCATCTCTGCATCACACAGTGTGTTTTTATAAGCTGTAAAATTAGTTATATGCATTACTACTACAGTATCTCTTGCAAAATACACTATCCCAACCTATGTATGCAAGCACAATCTGACCTGAAGAGTTGTAGGGGCCATCTTCGCCTTCATTTGATAGGCAAAGACAGACATTAAAGGCAGGGTGAGAAAGAATGACATGCAGGAAATCACCATGATCCCAAGATGCTGCAGCTTTTCAGCATTCGGTTTATCCACTTAACCAAGTGAGCAACAGCAGTCCCCCAACAGATAAGATTTGAGATGTTCCTTCGTACTCATCTCATCATGAATTTTCACAAAATGCTGAATTTATCGAATTTATTAACATGTAATTTTATTACACAAGTTAAATTTAATGGATAGTTTATACAAATAACTTTTTCCTTGATGAATTGTTTGAATAAATAAACCTTTGATTTGATATGTTTCAGCTGCACTTCATTAAAAATTATTGCTTCAATATTATTATAATTAATGCTTGAGAGGGTGAAGAATCATTTTTGTGAGTGAATAAAACCAAACTCCTAATATTAAGCTGACAAACTAACTTGCAGCCATAATCAGCATTCCTGAGCCTTTTTTATTTACAGTTAACCCCAATTAATAAATACATAAATAAAAAAAAAAATCCAGTCCAAACCTTTCAGTTGGAGTAGTTGGCCTGTGAAGGACTAATTCCCTTTACCTGTTGGAAATGTCGGCTCTGCCCTCTAGCGGTGTATGAAGGCATAAAATCAACTCATACCGCACATGCTCAGACAGGCCCGGTTCAGCGGTTAGAGATCTGCCATAAGCAGAGTGCGCCGTCACCTTCAGCCATCTTAACCATGTTGGGTGCCTTGGGACGGTGCTGCAGCGGGGCTCTGCAGGCTCTGAAGCCTGGTTTCAGTTCTCTGAAGACAATCCCCGGGAGAAATGCGGCTCTCCATTCCAGTAAGTAAAGTTTAAAACTGTGGCCGACTGTCAGCATTATGTGTCGCTTGTTACTACAGCCAGTAGATGCGAACCCGGCGGAACAGGCCTGTACCATTAAGGCTCCATTCATTGAGGATCAGTGGGTATTTTAGCCAAACAGAGGATCTAAAATATGAGCGAACCAGTTATTTAGGCATGTTTTGGCTTCAGGTATTTGTCTTTACTCCAGATATGTTTTACTTCGCTGTCTTCCATGAATGACCTTCGTAAGCGGGTCATTGTTTTGCCACAGATCCTGTGCTCTCGCTGTTCCAAAGTTTTAGTTAGTCTGTGTGCTTCAGTTACAACAGAATACGGAAGTGCATTTAAGAAAACCTAAAAATGTGTCAGTATTTTATAGTTAATCTGCCTGCCCTCTAGATGTACTTCAGTTCACTTGCATAGGTTAATTTAGTATGCACGGTCTCTCTGTGAAGCATGAACTGTTGCTGTCATGTGCTGCCATTCCTTTCACTGTCCTTTCAGGCAGGGGTTATGCTGCCCCAGCTGCTCAGGCTTCGCTGGCCAATGGCCGGATAGTAGCTGTGATTGGTGCTGTGGTGGATGTCCAGTTTGATGAGGGCCTGCCTCCCATTCTCAATGCCCTGGAGGTGGCAGGCCGCGAGAGTCGGCTGGTGCTGGAGGTGGCACAGCATCTGGGTGAGTGTGCTGAAATGAGCCAGCTGAACGCTCCAGAGTGAATATTTGTCCTTAATGTCTTTCTTTGTGCATTCATTCAGGTGAAAACACAGTCAGAACCATCGCCATGGACGGTACTGAGGGTCTGGTCCGTGGTCAGAAGGTTCTCGACACTGGAGCTCCCATTCGAATTCCCGTGGGCCCCGAGACCTTGGGCAGGATTATGAATGTCATCGGAGAACCCATTGATGAGAGAGGTCCAATTAGTACAAAGCAGTGAGTATTGAAAGGATTTAAACTTTCCCACTCTCTGTGAATATCTCAGCTTGTGTCTGTTTTACTCAAATAAGAGTTAAAATGTGTCTTTACTATTAATGGGTTTGACAGATGAGAAAGCACACATGGCACCTGTCTTATTCAACTGTAAGCATGTTTACAATAACAAACATTACTTGTCAGGACTGCTCCTATTCATGCTGAAGCCCCTGAGTTCACTGACATGAGTGTGGAGCAGGAGATCCTGGTGACTGGCATCAAAGTGGTAGATCTGCTGGCACCCTACGCCAAGGGTGGAAAGATCGGTTTGTTGATTTTTTTTTTTTTTTTTTTAAATCCACATTTATTTTTTCACACAAGAATTCCTTGTTAATTTATTATTGTGTATGCATCATTCCTTAAAGGTCTGTTTGGCGGTGCTGGTGTTGGCAAGACTGTGTTGATTATGGAGCTGATCAACAATGTGGCGAAGGCTCACGGTGGTTACTCTGTGTTTGCTGGAGTGGGCGAGAGAACCCGCGAAGGAAATGACTTGTACCATGAGATGATTGAGTCTGGTGTCATTAACCTGAAGGACACGACCTCAAAGGTCAGAGCCTTTTAACAAGTTAGCTGTTAAAACATACGTAGTCATTGTATTGTAGCAGTAAAAGTTTGGTTTATAGCTGTTGGATTTCAGTTAAGTTTCCTGGGACTCTTGTGTTGTGTTTCTCAGGTGGCACTAGTGTACGGTCAGATGAACGAGCCTCCAGGTGCTCGTGCGAGAGTTGCCCTGACCGGTTTGACTGTTGCAGAATACTTCCGCGATCAGGAGGGACAGGACGTGCTCCTCTTTATTGACAACATCTTTAGGTTTACCCAGGCTGGATCAGAGGTTTGAAATGGAATAAATAAAAAATACTTTTTGTTAGACCTAATAGTTATGTTCTCTCACTTTAATATTTATACCCTTATCCTCCAGGTGTCTGCTCTGTTGGGTCGTATCCCTTCTGCCGTGGGTTACCAGCCAACACTGGCTACTGATATGGGTACAATGCAGGAGAGAATCACCACCACTAAGAAAGGCTCCATCACCTCAGTACAAGTAAGAAGTCCCAGGATGCTAATCCTAATTACATGTCAGCATGCTCTTGTTTTCTGGTTTATTTAAACTGATTTGTGTTGCAGGCTATTTATGTGCCTGCTGATGACTTGACTGACCCCGCTCCAGCTACCACTTTTGCTCACTTGGATGCGACAACTGTGCTGTCCCGCGCTATCGCCGAGCTTGGTATCTATCCTGCTGTGGATCCCTTAGATTCAACTTCCCGCATCATGGACCCCAATATTGTTGGTTCTGAACACTACGATGTTGCCCGTGGTGTGCAGAAAATTCTTCAGGTAAGATGTATGCCATTACAATTTATTAATAACAAACAATCAATACAAAAGGCAAAAACTAATGACTGTTTCTTTCTTTCTTTTTTTTTCTGTAGGACTATAAGTCATTACAGGACATCATTGCTATCCTTGGTATGGATGAATTGTCTGAGGAGGACAAGTTAACTGTAGCACGTGCCCGCAAGATCCAGCGTTTCCTGTCTCAGCCCTTCCAGGTAGCTGAAGTCTTTACTGGTCATTTGGGCAAGCTGGTCCCTCTGAAGGAAACAATCAAAGGCTTTAAGAGCATTCTAGGAGGTAAAGTGCACCACTGATATAAAAACATTTTTTAAATGGCATCAACTTGATGTGCTTTTTATATTAATGGTTATTGTTGGGGGTTTTTTTCTCTTCAAGGTGAATATGATGCCTTGCCAGAACAGGCTTTCTACATGGTGGGCCCCATTGAAGAAGTAGTCCAAAAGGCTGAGAAACTGGCCGAGGAACATGCGTAAACAATATCTTTCTGAGGCCGGAAAGTTTTAAGATGAACATTTGTACAGTGTAATTTCTATTTGAGGAACTTCTAACTTGTCATGCTAAGTATGTTTGTTGTGGTTCCATTTCTCTGGAAGATTAAATTTAAAGAAAAAAAAAAGAAAGTAAATTGTGTTGTATCCATGGGTTCTTTTCTTCTTCTTTTTTTCCACCCTTCCCTCAAAATTGTCCACAAACATGCATACTTGTTCACAATAAATAAAAACCATCATATTGATTAGAAAACATACCAGATGTTTAGCCAGTTATGTGGCGCAGCTTTCTATTCAGCTCCCTTTCCTGTGTGAGGAGGCTGTCACTGTGTTCCTTGAAGGCGTCGAAATCCTGTGAAAATGAAACATTTGGAACATGTTCTCAGCCTCATTTGGGCGACCATGAAGTTTTGCAGACTGCCTATTTCAATGCACCTCTTTTAGCTTCTCAAACTTTCTCACAGATTGATCAAGAGCAGACTGGAGGGACTTCACTCTTGCATCTTTGTTAACGGCTTCTACTTCACGTGCAAATCTGAAAGTCGAGAACAAACGTAAGATCGCTCTCATCGCTCCCATTTGTGCTTCAGTCTTTCTGTGTGTGATCCTGGAAATAAATCTTAGTATGCCATGTTGAAGGATGTCGCAATTCCTAGTGTGTTAAGAAGAGAGCGGAGGCTCGCTTACAGAAGTTAAAATGAAGGGTGCACAGAACTATGTTTACCTTCAGTGTATAAAAGAGGTGAAGCACACAACTGGAATAGACAAATCACAGAGGAAGGAGTCCATAAACTGTCTGTATTTATAACTTGTTTCAGTTAAGATGATCAAACCTTCTGGCCTTCACTGTCACTGTGATTAAGAAAGGTAGATATACCTTGTCATATTGTAAATTAAAAGAATCGATTAATATAAAAGAATAGCATGAGCGCTGCAACACTGGAGATCATAAAGTCTTAGTCCTGCAGTGCTGTAAGTAGCATAACAAAATTTATAGTGCAGATGTTAAACATTCTCATTTGACACTTTAAAGTGATGGCTTGAGCCAAAACTGTGATACTTCTCTAGTGGAAAGGGCTAAGACACGAGGACAGGAGTAGAGGAGAAAATAAGAAAGTCAGTTAAACTTTGAAGTCTTACAGCAATGTAACGTAAGCACTGCTAGTACCTCTCCAATGCCTCCAGTCGCACTTTCTTCTCTTCTTTGCATTTTGTCTCCAGGTTCTGGATTTCCTCCTGTTTCTCCTGCATTTAAGAGCAGTTTGTATGTTAATGAAGCCATTCATTCATTCATGAGCATTTGTGTGTGTTTATTAGTTAGAAGAATGCTGTTTTTTTTTTTTATTAACCTGTATCACTTTGCCTCTTTCCATAGAAAGACACAAAAACTTGTCCTTCTCCTTCATGAGATTTGTTATTCTTTCTCTCATTTTGATTTCATTCAAAGCTCGCTGTTCTTCAGCCTCTTGTAGCTGCTGCTTCAGTTCTGTTTGCAGAAGGAAAGACATTATTTTGTAAACTGTAGAGATAGACCTATAGTTTTCTACGCACCTTTGCAGTTGTCCACAGCCTCTTTGTGCTGCTGGTGTGCATCCTGTAGCTCATCGATTAGTGATGTTTCCCTGGCTATATGCACATTTTCTTGTCCCAGGAGTTCCATCTGGCATCCAGCTAATTTCTCCCTTAAGTTTTAGTGTAAAATAATTCAAAGGAAATTAACAACTACATATTTAATGATTTTTATTACTGTTCAATAATTCTTGTTTTTCAAAAGTCTGAGATTGAATCTCATTAGATTAAAGCATTAGAGTTAATTACCGATATTCCTTTCTCTTGTGTGCATATTTCTCTATCAGCAGTTTAACTTCTTCCTCCAGTTTTTGCACTAACACTTGGCTGTCGTGTAACCTCTGTGAGAAAAGCGATTCATTCTCTGACTGCAGCTTTTCGTTTTCGAGTTTTAACCGGCTGTTATCGTTTTTATACTCCTCCATGAAAGCAATAATTGCTTGATTGTTGGCAGCTAAATCCATAAATCTTTTCTCCAGTATCTTTGATTTGTTCCTTTCCTCTTCCAGTTCTTTCTGACAGCGTGCCACTTGGTCCTCATGCTCTGCATTGATTTTCTGCAGGGCTTGATATCGGAGAAACACCTCGTCGGCTCTGTTTTTCAGAATGCAGATCAAACTTGACTGCTCATCTACTCTGGACCTCAACATCTTTTCCTCTGTTAGATCCTCCGTGGGAAGACTTTGAAGTTTCCCAGGTGACTTCTGAATGCAGTCCATATGCTGTGAAGAAAGGAAAGAAACCTAATGTTAAAACATGGCAATAACTTCTCTCACACCAATCTGACAAGGCAGGCAGCTGTCCATCCTGAGCCTGTGTATGTAGCCGTGTAGACATGGTTAAGTCAACCTTCTCCTTAGTTAAAACTCAGCATCAAAATGGGGACGAAAAGCAATTTAAGTATTTTAAGTAGTTCAATTCATGATTCAGAAATTTAAGTAGTTCAAATAACCAGATGACTTGTGGAAAAGCATCTCTGAATGCAGAGCATATTAAAACATTGAAGCAGATTGTCTACAACAGCAGAAGACCATTTTAAATGGGGACAAGTCAGCTGGTGAGTGTATTTAACTCAGGGATGTCAAAGTCATTTTACATCGTTGGCCACAAACAGCCCATTTTGATCTCAGCCAGTGAAACTCCAATTTTAGTCAATGTAAAAAGAAATTTACTACACATTTAATCAATGCGATATCTTAATACAAGACAAAGAAGAGAAATTTCAACAGTATGTCTCAGTTTTTCTACATGATATATAAATGCTGCATAGTAATTGAAATAAATCTGTCAGCATGACTCTTTGGGCTTCAATTGTAAGAAGTAAATGTATAAAATTACAGTCTATAAGATAATTACTTTGGTGTTATGTGAATGGCCATGGGATGAGATATTTAGAATAAGGCAAAGTTGTAAAAGCCACCTAATAATATTGGAGCCTTCGCCGGGCTGATTCTGGACCCGGGCCTTACGTTTGACAACCCTGGTCTATTAACTATAGCGGTTAAATGTACTAAGTACAGTGCTATTGTTGTGGAGCAATCGTACAATTGCTCATAATTTTCTTTAAGTACATTATTGAGCTAAATGTACTTCTGCGACTAAACACTTTTAGGTAATTAACGGTTTTAGATACTCTGCGCATCTTAAAAGATCGCTAGCTTATACTTTTTATGTTACCCATCTCTTATTATTCTTTTTAGCATGTTTCCAGTTTATTCACACACTTAGCTCATTTAAATTTATTCCTCATTTAAAGAATTTAAGTAATACAGCAGTACTTAAAGTTAAGAATTGTCGAGAAACTAAACTTAGTATTAGTTTGAACAAACTTTTTTGTTTTGCTTTTTTAAACACACCTTCACCTCGCTGCCCTCCATCTTCATGTTTTCCTCTGCATTGCTCTGTGAAACTGCCATGTCGAGTTCATATAATACAGATTTTCAGTCACATTTTTTCCGTACCTAACTTCCACTTTTTGTTGAAAATATCTTTTAAAAGTCTCGGCAGTTTCGGTTGCGCCGTCGCTAATGGCAACCATCTTTGAACCGCCCTTTTTTCTGATTTATCGAGTCCCACTATTCGGCCGCATGAGGGCGATGTTGAGCTTATTATCGGCCGCCAACTTGGTTAACAGTAGGTTTGTTTTTGTTTTGTTTTTTAATATTATTATTATTATTTTAGTAATAGCAGTTTATATTTTTTATTTTTATTATTTTTTTGATGATTGTATTTTTCCGTGGCGCTAAATTTATATATTTTTATTTTAGGGAGATCATTACACCATAATTCCGTTAGTTTACCATTAGATAATCCAATAATCATTTGACCTCCTTTTGCAAAGCACCGTTACAAAGACTCTTAACAAAGTGCATTTTTGTCGTCATATGTGCCAGAAACATGGTCCTTGCTTGGGCTCTAACCAACCATACTGGGATTAAGCTCTCTGCCTGGGCCTTCTTGGACGCCCTAGAAGGCCTTGTTGTAGTTGCATGCTTTTTTATTTAGTCGCCCACTCTTTATTTTTCCCCCCAAGAACCAGTAGGCACCCATTTCAATCCCTAAATCAAAGTGATAGCCCGCTGAGAGTGAAAAATCACTGGCACTGGGACGAGTCGGACCTTACTCGGCATTATGCAGATTCCAGAGCCCAGAGGGATTTATCGTGAGGGCCGAGGCTGGGTTGGGGGAGCGGCTGTCCTGGCCTTTGTGCACGCCCCTTTTCATCAACTAGCGGGCCAAGAAAGACAGAGGAAAGCAACAGCATCCCAGCCCCAGTCCTTACAGCTCCTCCATCTGCACAGCGGAGCTGGACGGACCAGCCAGGATGTGGAGAGCACTGCTACTTAAACTCCTTTTTGTCCTTATATGCTGTGTTACATGGCACCACTCTGAAGGTAAGTACTGTGATTTCTTTAAACTTTTTTTTTCTCTGTCCACACAGGATGTTAGCTGAATGACTCATTGAGGAACTGCATAACTGTTGCGCTGCAGTGCACTTGTTGCACATAGGAAAAAATATGAGAAAACTAAAAATCAATCATATTTGATGGAATTTAAAGAGCAAAAGAAGGTGGAAATACTATTGTTAATGATTCAAAAGCCTTTGGTTTAGTGCCTGCACTCAGGATGATACTGTATTTTTATTTATTTATTTATTTAAATTTAGCCACCAGGTAAAGTAATTCTGTCTGTGGCACTAAATGCTTTTCCACATAGTATTACTTTAAAGGTTGAGCACAAAGCCTTCCTCACACCGATTGGAAGTTATCTTGAAGAACTTTTGCCTGAGCTTTACTGTTGCTAGGTAACAGAAAAGAGCATGTGACTTACAGGCAATCTGCGAGGACTGTGGGCCACTGGTACAAATCTCATTCAGTGGAGCAGATTTTACGCTGCAAACCCACCGATTCGGCTCAGATTCCAGCTTTATTTTCTAATGCAAGAGAGAGAGAGAGAGAGAGAGAGAGAGAGAGAGAGAGAGACACACACACACACACACACACACACACACACACACACACGACCCCGTTCAGCTATCTTAGTGAGGACCTTCATTGACATAATGGTTTCCATAGTCCCTTATAACCCTAACCATTAAAAATGAATGCCTAACTCTAACCCTAAACCTAACCATAACCTAATTGTAACCCTGACACTAAAACCACATTTTGAGCCTCAAAAAGGCCTTCAAACTTGTGAGGACCAGTGAGTGTGTCCTCACAAGTGACTGTTGGTTCTCACAAGTATAGTAGAATGCAGATTTTGGTCCTCACAAAGATAGCTAGACAGGAACACACACACACAC